GAGATAAAGAGCACCTTTATTTTCCTAAAATGGTTTAGGTATTGATTGAATGAGGCCAAATTATCGAGAAACTAGGTTAGGTAGATAGCTAACCAAAACAATTTGGTTCTTCAAGGTCTCAACCTAGTGGCCAGCAATCGAGGGGTGAGAAAAGATTCCCAGATGGCCATAGATTCAACTTCTTGGTCCTTCGAAGAAGCGGGAAATTCACGTGTGAACCATTCAGGGCCACACATACTTTGAGCAAAAGGAATCTTGCAAGATTTCCCCTTCATCACTTGGATTTAGTTGGACTAATCTTGTCCCTTCGACCCTTCTGGTCTTTATTTCATCATCTTCTTTGTTTATGAGGTTATGCATGGAAAGTGAAGGCTCGAAGGTGGCATTCAACCATAATTAAATTAGCCAGAGTGGGCCGGTGAACACAATGTTTGTTCCCGGTTAGTAATTCCTTAGGATATCAATTGATTCTCCTAATAATTCATGAAGGGAACCTAAAATAGTTTGGCTCAAACACAATTTATGCCCATCGTGAATTTGGTTCGCCGTGATGAGATATCTCTTATCTACTTGAAGGGAGCTCGAGCAAAATATGCAACGTGATAACGATAATTCCAAGAAGGAAATATGTTCTTCGTTAGAGACTTCTTCAGTGGTTTTGTCATGGTGATCATCTATATAATGTGTGAAAGTTGGTTTACCTTTTTCAAATCCAATAGTATCTTCATCCATCTCAAAGGGGTCGAAGGTTTCCCCAATAGGTCGAAGACCAGTAATGGCGACAATATCGAATAAAGTTGGGGTCATCATTCCAAAATGGAAATGGAAAGTATTATGGGTAGAATCCCAGAAGTATAGTGAAGCCACTAACATGCTTTGGCTATACCCAGGACCATATTTCGGCAGTTGAGTTATGTCGTAAATCTCCATACCTTTCTAGAATTGGATTTTCTAACTTTCAACCTTAGAAAGCCAAGAAAGATATAATTCAGGTTCTTTCATTAGAGAGCATGAGTGAAACACATTAAGATTATTTCTCATGTAATCGAGATTAATCTTATCTTCTATTTTTGAAGCATCAGTCAAAGACTTCTCTTGGTTATCTGTAGATTTTTGGGTTTCAGGTTTCCTACTACCTTTATCATCGGGCTTTTGCTTACTAGTTAAGGGTTTAGTACGACAGTAAACAGAGAAAAACTCTTTGAGTTTCTCTGTATCTGCATCAGGTTCGGGAAAAAGACCCATGTATGCATGTGTTTTACCAAAAACGTTAAAGGAATAAGTACCTGAGATTCATAAATTTTGTGTTTTTCCTCAAGAAGAAGAGGCTCAGGGACGTATTCTTGGTTCCCTGCTAACAATGGTGTTGATAACTTGGTGATTAGAATGGAAGCTTCTTTTTGTTTCTTAGATGCTTTGACTTTGGGCGCCATTTGTTGAAGATGGAAGCTTAGAGAATGAAGATTTTGTGAAAGTTGTGAAGAAGAAACTCAAGAATGCAAGTTTGAGAATTCATAAATTGGAAAAAAAATTAAAATGAAAGAGGATGATATTTATAAGAAGGAAGAAAAAAAGTTTCAATTTCATTCTGGAAGATGAATAAGAAGTTAGTGGGACACGTGTAAATTTTCTACAGGCGGTTGGCTTTACAAGTTACCTCCATACTCCTATTTTTAAGGTTAATGATTCAAAGCAGTATTGCACGCCTCAATGCGACGTTTCTGAAAAGTTGTCATCATGACCATGACTCACTTCAGTAATTCTTACGCGTCAAAGGCTTTCAAAAAATTCCCTTTTCTCATTGTAGTCAAAAAAGACATTTTTTGGGGGAAATTTGTTAGTTAGAAATTTGACGCTCAAAGATTAAATGAAGAAAGGATTTTTGGAAAAGAAATCAAAAAGTGTTGGAGAAATGCTTTGACAAAAGCAAATGATGGTCTTTTCGACCAAAGTTTAGCAAAATAATATGAATCCGAAACTTGACATTTGAGAAGATGTTTTAAGCGGGTTCGACAGAGATAATTTGAAATAAGGCTGAAAGAGTGGAATTTTGGCGCTTATTTGTTCCTTTTTTAAAAGAGACACGTGGAAGCCTGTGAAGAGTCGAACACATGCAAGCGAGATCACGTCCCCTTTTGATGAGAAGACTGTTTGTATCGAATTAGTATAAGTATGAGTATCTAGTTTTAGATTTATGTGCGTTCAATTATTGTACAAATTACTCTATTCACTCAAAGTATCAAAGTTAATCGAGAAACACGTTTCCTGAGAATGTACGTATGAAATACCACTTTTTACCATTCAATACAAGTTTTACGTTTAAAAGTTATTTGCAACTTCTTTATATTTTCAGTCGAAACCTTTATTTCCTTGCCACTTACATTCTTTTTTTTCTTTGTTTTCTCTTCATCATTTATATTTGAACTTACTTTTATTATTGAAAATATCATCGTCCAAAAAAAACCTATAAAAGCAACTCAAACTATACACTATTGTCATAGGATCAATCTAGTCGATCATGTAAGTAATCAGAGTCATTATATTTTGAAAGACTAGTGGTTGTTTATCAAATTTCACAGTAAATAGAGTGCAACTTGAAGATCCGGGGCGGGGATTGCATCAATCATTGGGAAATTGCGGTGAATGCTTGCTCTTCTTCATTCTTCTCTTTGTATTTAGTTATCATAGGTAATTAAATCCCTTTCTTGTTTGGATTGGATGTAAGTTTACTGTTTTAGTATGTATTTTTATTGATCATTGCGTTGTATACAATCTATTTGTGAATCTATATTGATGTTATCTTTGTTTTACTATTTATCTTAATGGGCTTGAATTGTTATTGAGAAATACGGTTCGAAACTCGAACTAAGATGAGCTTTAGTTAGACTCTAAATGCTAGACATAGATTTAGGCTAACATTCATAGAGAATATCAGATCATAATGCTCCTTGTTGTTTAATAGGCTGAGAAATTATCGATTAAACTATAAGGTAAGAACCGTTTAATAGGCTGAGAGATCGTCGATTAAAAAGTTCGAATCCCATTAGATGTTTAGACAAAAACGTTGTTGTGAGCGATACATGATGGCATTGATGAATGTTTAGATTGTATACAACTGATTGATAAAGTGGCATATTATTTCGGTAGATGGAATCCAATCCTGGCAAGTTCTCATATCTCTTTGAAACTTTGTTTATCGTTCAACCGTATTATTTTCAGTAATTTAAACTTTGAAACCCTTGCTAACTTAATCTTAAAAACATATTACCTGTTGAATGACATTGATATTGCAATGATCCATGTGGGAACGATAAAATAAAAATATTTACTTTTTTTGCTGCTTTACCGCAACAACATCACTTCATGTTTCAGATAAATGTAATCATCAACTTAATTTGCACAAGCATATGCAGCAAAATCATATGCATCATCATGGTTTTTTATCTGAAATTTTTTCCATCTATTTCAACAATTTTAGTCCAAGCCTTATAGCTTACTTGTTTATAACCTTATCCCTTCACCAATTTATGAACTCCAAACATAGTTTATTTCTGAATATTTTTCCCATCAACTAGGTTTTAAATCCCACTTCTGTAGAATAATTTGTTCTCACTGTCCCTTACAAATTCCCTTCCATGGTGAAAACAACATTAAAGAATTGCATGTTTTGTGAAAGAAATTTGCATATTCAACATTACAACATTACAATCACTACATAAATAGAGTTCAAAAAAGATAACCTCAGACATAGAAAAGAAGATTTTAACATGCATGCTTTAGTAAAAGCTTCAATAAAACCTCTAATGGTGTCTTCCTTCTTTGTGCTTCATCTTCATTCTCCAATGCTTCCTCTTTATTCTCCAATGGCGTTTGTATTGTTCATTCAACGATTGAATTGGTCAAACAATGAAAACTTTAATTTTTAAGGGGGTAAACCACAATGTACAAGAAATTAGTGACATGTCAAATTAAAGAAATGTATAATTTAAACAAAAATGCCACTTAGACCGGCCAATACTAGTCACGCCATAAAAAAATAAAAGATTTTATATATAATGTGTCACTAAAGGACAAAACATACATAATCATAAGGGGGATAAAAAAATTATTATGAAGGATAAACGAAATAGTCAAATTATAAGGAGAAAAGTATATCTAACTCATAGATAAAAATTTAACAATAAAAAAATAAATTATTTCAATTAAAAAATATTTAAAAAAATTTGACATGCGCCAATGTAGGACTGCCAAGTCATTAATGAGAAAGTCATTGCAAAAAGTCAAGAAGACTAAATGCATGTTTCATTTGGCTTTTGAAATGAACAAAAGTAATTTTAGAGGTGTAGAATTGATTCTGGATAATTTTGAGATGTTTTGTTAAACAAATGTAGAATTGATTTTATCTCCATAATTAATTATACTTTAAGCTATAATTTATAGTTTCTAAATTAATTTTAGATAATTTTTCCAACATAAATAAATTATAATAAACTCAATTCTCACGCAATCAATTTTATACACCGCGAATCTAAATACACTTTTAATAAATCGAAAGTAAAAGTATATGGTCAAAAAAGCTGAATTTTAAAATGAAAGACCAAAACGTTATTATCACCTAAATAAGAAAGATGAACATACATTTAAACCTATTTATTATAGTTGTTTCCGACTCGAGTAATTCGTTTATACTTTTATTTGCATAGATACTCACCCTATTATAAAAAACAAAACAAAAGATATGATCCAGCATTCTGTTTTTATTACATGTGAATGATAATAAAATAAAATAAAAATGAAAAAGAAGAATTAAGTGAGAAGTGAGAACACGCCTAACGTGGGCTCAGTGGAATAGTCAAATATAAAAACGCGGTTACCGGCTTGACTTCACTGTAACGTATTAAGTATTCACAGTACATTACTATAAATCAGACATGTCACCAAGCAAAACCAGAGAAAAAAAGCAGATCCAGAACACAGAACCAAACCTCAAAAACAACAAAATGGGTGGTCGAAGAAGCATCGCATGTTTAGCATCATTGATGGTAGGCATGGTGTTGATAATGATGATCAACAGTACAGAGGCACAAGACACAACTTCTTGCGCTTCTAATTTAATTCCTTGCGCTGATTTCTTGAATTCCACCAAACCACCAAGCTCTTGCTGTGATCCACTCAAGAAAACCGTTGAAACTCAACTCACTTGTCTCTGTAATCTCTTCTATACCCCTGGTTTGCTTGAAACCTTTCACGTCAATATTACTCAGGCTCTTGGACTCGCTGGTAAGTGTGGTATTCCCGGTGGTATCTCCAGCTGCAAACAAGGTATGTGTCTCTTCACCTCTCTGTTTATCATTTTTTTTCTCAAAACTTTTTTTGTGTTATTGTTTGTATCACAATTTCTTAATTCTAGTTTTTGTCAAAAATAAAATATCACTTTTCTAGATCTAAGGTGAACAGAGGAAAGAGAAAATTAAAGATCCAACATACTTGTTTTGTTAATTATTTTTACATTTCAGTTTTTCTTCTCAAAATAAATGTTTTTTTTAAATATTAATATTCACGTTTTTCACCTATCCTATTATTATAATAAATAAAAAAATTTCAGTAATATTAATTATATTATTAAAATTTTATTTAATTATTTTCTTAAAAATCACACAGAATTCAAATAAGATATGTATTATGAGACGAAAAGGTTAAGTTGTTTTAATGTATTTGGTTTCTGAAACTAAAATTAGTTTTAAAATAATTTTATAAAATTGATTATAGTTAAAAATAAAAATAATTTATATTAAATATATTTATTAAAAGTGAATTAAAAATATATTAATTATATTTTAATTTTAAAATTATAAATTCTAATTTTAAATAAAATGAATTCTAAAAATTATTAGTTATATGAACTAATCGCTTTAAAATTAATTTTGCTTTTGGAATTTCTCTTTTAAAAATCAAATAATTTTGTTTGATTTTGAATTAAGTTTCATTTTTGTTTAAAAAATTAAATAAATAATTACATAATAGTACTAATTATATAGGTTGGATGATTTTGTACAACTCTTTCACATGTTGCCATCTGTCTAAAAAATATTAAATGTTTTTATGATTTAAGAGGATCTTTAACGTTTACTTGTATGAAATCCGTATTAAATTTTATGTACCATTAATAATGTCATGATAGTAATAAAGTAGTACATCACTTTTAAACAATTCATACATATACTTCAACCTTTTCTTAAGTATTTATTGTGTCTAATCATGATTATTCTAATAAAATATTAAAAAGGCGTTTCATCTTTTTAAAAAAGCTCTTTTAGATTGTCTCATTAGATATGCTCTAATAATAATAATAATGTAGCAGTAGCACTGATCAACCTTTCATTATTTTGTTTCAGCTGGGTCAGCTCCAGCTCCAACTGCCGGCGGGTCCCCATCGGGTAAGAAGCTTCTTCAGTTCACACCAGCATCTTGCTGATTCAATATTGATTTAACTTTTAAAATTGATTTAAAAAGTAAAATTATTTTATTTAGTCCTGGTGGCTGTTTTAAAAATAATAGATAACGATAATGAAGAAACTAATAAATATTTTATTGCAATTTATCCCCTTGCAGCTAAAGGTGGTGGTGAATCGGGTGATAAAGGAGGTGCAGGCAGAGTCTCATTCACTGGGTTTTCTTTTGTACTCTTATTAGCATCCATGCTGTTCAATTAGGAAACTTGTATTGTATTTATCTCTGTAATTCTATACATTGATTGGCTACTGAGCTAGTATATGATTGCGTGTAATTTCTTTTTCCAATAACTGTTGTTTTTGTTAATTAATTTATTGTCACAAATTCTTCTTGAATATTCTTTCAGGACTAGTAGACTATAGAAACCATGTGCATTTGTTTAAAATTCTCAAAATGAGTTAACAAAGAATACAAAGTTGAAATGTCAAAATAATCGGATATTGGGTGTGAATGGGGCACGTATCAAATTCAGAGACGCAGCTTCTCGTGACGATTTGGACCCTACTTTCTTGTCTCTAAGGGACATTCTATTGTCAAATTCTAATCAACCTAGTTCCATGATAAATCGGTTCATTTTATGATTTTTGGATCAAAATTGAATGTGAAAGGAAAGAGTGTAACAAGATAGAAAGTGAGTGGAAAGTAATAGACGAGATGATTATTTGCTTTTTTTTTAGTCAAACGTGGGCAACAAGCTTTTGGTATAAATATAAAATAAGTACAAAATCAAAACCTCAAAGAGTTAACAACCTTAAAGTTTTTTTTTTTTAATAAGCAATCAAAATCCCTTTACAGTTAAATTACATTCAGCAAAATCAATGGTTTTTTCCACCATTCATAAAAACATATATTAGATTTGTCTTTCACTCTTATCACAAGCCAAACCCATGAAACAATCTTAACATCATTAATTAATTCCTCTAAGACACATATGTCCCCTTCAAAAAGAATCCTATTTTTCTTAGACTTATATAAATTAAATTGTTGCAAACCACACCAACAGCACCTTATCTGCAAACTTCCTGCAATGATTCAATGGTCTCTCTCCTCCACAACGGGTGGGAGTGACAACCAACCTTAAAGCTAGGAAAGCCTAGCAAGTGTCTCTTAATATTAATAATTATATAGTTAAATAGACTTTACCCATTCATTCAGGTTCAAATCTTTTTTTTTTTTGAAATTTTGGTATCGGCTGGTCTTGTGACCGACTAATTCAAAAGGATGAATAACACAGTTTGCTTGTGAGAGTTCTGTTTAAAGACAAAAATGATTTTGAGAGAAGCACACTCTTAAGACTCAAACCTCAACCACTAGATCAATCCATAAAGTTCAGATTATTTTTTTAGTAGTGTTTTTATAATGTTGTATTTATATTTTGCTCAATTTTGGATTGAAGATTTTACTCCATATCTCCACATTTGTCCCTCTACCACTACATTGAAAATATTTTGACTAAAATACTCTCATACAAATAATTTATTTGTCTCGTTTTTTCATCATTTATGTTTTGAAATTCTGATACAGAAAAAATTGACATACCATAACACTTTATGAAAGTGTTCTAGTTGGATAACATTTATGTTTCAAAAAAAATTTAAAAAAAATTGTCATACTGAAATACTTTTTAAAAATGTTCTGGTTAAATATCATTCGTGTTTCAAAAATTCAAAAAGAGAAATTGTCAAATCGGAACACTTTTTAAAAGTGTTCCAGTTGGATTACATTCCTGTTTCAAAACTTCAAAACCTAAAATTGTCAAATCAGAACCTTTTTTAAAATGTTTCAATTGGAGGTATATTAAGACATACCTTTAAAAAAGTGCTTAAGATAGATTTTTTTCTCTAGCTGAGTTTCGGCAACAGTTCAAAACTATAGTCTAAAATAAACAGACAAACCTTTAAAATCGTTTCCAAAATGAAAATATCACTTCAAATATTGCCAAAAGAATCTGGTAGGACAAGTAAGGCAACGAGTACAAATTTATTTTTGTTAGGCCACGTTTTGAACAGATCCCAAAGTGGAAATATAAAAAAGAATCTGGTAAGACAAGTAAGGCAACTGGTACAATTTTCTTTACTTTAGGACACATTTTGAACTGTTATCGAAACTCATTTAGGAAAAAAACTAACTGGAAGAATCCTTTCAAAAAGTGTTTTGATATGACAATTTTTTTATTTTTGAAACCCGAATGATATCTAATTGGAACACTTCCAAAAAGTGTTCCGGTATGATAATTTTTTTATATCAGAATTTCGAAAAATAAATTATGGAAAAGTGAAAAAATGAGACAAACAAACTTTTTATATGAGAATATTTTGGTCAAAATATTTTTAATGTATAGGTAATGGGACAAGTGTGGGGGTATGGGCGTAAATCTTCTTTTGTATTCATGTGTACTTAATTTACGGTCCACACTGTATAATTTTTTCATGGCCCAAATCTTGCCCAAGTCAGTTAGGGTTTAAGATAACCAACTACATTTTACGATACTAATCAATCTTATATCAAGGATCGAGAAAAATAACAACAAACAAAATAGTTTATTCTTAATAAATCAAGTGTTACAAATTCTTAAGAACCTACATTCAACAATATCCATCATTAGATAAGTAGAGTTTTATACATTCTTAGATAAGTAGAGTTCCATACATTCAATAATATTCAACACTTTGCACATCACTGTTTATTAGATAATATTTTGGAACTTCCATAAATGCATGATGAACATAACATAACATAACATAACATAATATATGGAAAATTGTTACATAACTTGGACAAACGATTACATAACTTAACAAAACAATAATAAATAAGAAAACATAAACACTAGCAGATGATTCTGGATGTCATCTGCTAGTGTTTAGGTTTTCTTATTTATTATTGTTTTGTTAAGTTATGTAATCGTTTGTCCAAGTTATGTAACTGTTTGTCATATGTTATGTTATGTTCATCATGCATCTATAGAAGTTCCAAACTTGATTATGCATCTTGATTATGTCGTCGATAAATCTAGTAATTGTTGCATCAAACTCGAGTTAACCTATGATGATATGTTCTCCACATAACCTTTAAATATTCATCACTCTTCAACTCAATATGATTGTATTTTACACTTTCATTGGTATTAATTTATGGTACAAGAAACTCGATCTTACTCACTATTATGTTCTCGATATTGGGAAACATATCATTCAACTTAGATCACAAGACAACGAGGCATGTGGTGCTCTCCGGGAGTCAAAACTCTATGGGAGGTTTCACCCAGTTGTAATACATTTCCACCTTAAACAAAAACTGAGGCATTGTAAGATGTTTTTCTTAACAACACATGACCCCTATTTATACAACTTAATTCATTCTAGACTGTTATACCCCAATTTTACCACTCCCTTTATTCATATCATTAGGTGTAGTACTTTTAGATTTCATTTTCCTAATTCATAACATCCATGTTCATTTGTTCAAATCATATAGGTTACTGAATCATGATCACTTCATTAGGTCATTAGCTCTCATATTCATGCATTTCGTACATGCATTATATTGATTCTCATATGCATTCATCAATAAAGTCAAGGTTAAGCCAACCATTAGTTTTATTATATGCATCTCTAAGAATTATTCATTGCATTTTGCCAAGCCTTTAAGGTTTTGTTTATTTACATAGTAGGTTTTTTTATTGATAAAATCAATATGTGTTTTCACATTTGTCATCCACTCGTATTAGTGTTCTTAGGTCTTATTGCATTGCTAAGTGTATGTCATTTTTTTCATTGCATATTACCATGATAAATATAAAGACAATATCTTGTGAACTAAGTTTTTTTTCTTGACCTAATGTTAAGTCCTTTTTGTTTGGTGACTTGGTTCTTTTATCTTTTTCTTAGTATCATTATCAAATAAAGCATTCCTAATAAGGCACGGGTGCCATTTTCTTTTGGTACAGGGCATGTAGAATTATTTGAAACTATTATAAGTATTTTCACTTTCTTTGATTTTACAAGTTTACATTTGTTACAACAAGAAAGTTGCTTGAGTTGACAATGCACGTCAAAATATCACAAATGTACAAAGTTTATATAAGTTTCTACAATGTACAAAGAATGTTGTAAGCTACTTGACACTTAAGCAAAGCCCTAAACCTAGTGAACTACAAGCCAAATGAGCTTCTTTATCCATATGCCAAGTTAACCCTCAGATTACTTAAAGTTCTTCGTTGTGTTTCTTTTCTTGCAACACAAGTAACACAACCTGCAAAAGTATTTGAAAAACAAAAGGAAACATCAAAATTCAAGAAAAAATGGCATCAAAATGAAAGGTAATGTAACAAGTTACAAGACCAAAGCACTACATATAAAACAAGCCTGCAAAAGCATTGAAGCAAGGAAAATAGGCATTAAAAAACTCAAGGTTTCTGTGGAATGTGTCAAGTTTAATTCACAAGCATGAAATCAATATGTGTGATACGGTGGGAGAACTGACTTGAGGGTTTTGCAATTGATTGCAAATGTCGCGGTTAGCAAGAGTCGCCACCGACTTTTCTTTTATCCAAAAGGAAAGGTGAAAAAGCACAGGAAATACCTTTGAGATTGTTTCTTGAGTTCGGGGGGTAGATTATAAAAAGGGAAGGTATTATCACCCTTTTCATCCATGGTTTTCCATGGGCTCTTAATTACTTGCTAGATCACTTGCTTTTGTTGTTTGAAATTGTGTTTGGTGTGGTTTTGAAAGTATTTTGTAAAAGAGGTCGTCTTTTAGGCAATCTTTGTAATGATTCTCGTTCGTAAGAATGTATACAAAGATGTTTGTCTTTTTGAAAATGTTTTCAGTGTTTGTAAGATGTTTTTTAAATGTGTGTGTGTGTTTATTTTGAAAAATAGCAAGGATAGTTGTTTGAAAATAGAGCAAGTAACTAGAAGTAATCTACCTACTCAAATGTCTTTCTTGTGCATTTTTTATTCCTTTGACATTGTTGTCTTATCATTTATTTGGTAAGCAACTCTATCTTTGGATGTAAACGGGACGGGTGTGGGTCATCGTATAACCATGATTAGCAATATTGCAAAGTATCTTAGTATTTTGAGGGACCAAGATCATTTTATAAGGCAACTTTCAATAGCATCATCGAGGGACTATGATCTTATATTTGTTTGTTTTGCCAAGATACTTCGCATGCGTAATATGGCCATTTTTTGTA